AAAAATTCATTAAAACACCTGAACACACACACACACACACACACACACACACACACACACATATAAATAAAACAATGGTGGACCAGATTTGGCCTACAGACCATAGCTTGCCAACCTCTGCTATAAGTATTTAGGTAAAGTACCTGGCATGGTACCAGCACATATTCAACAAGTAGCAACTTTGTAATTTTAAAATTTTATTTTATCATTATATATATATATTTTAGACAGTTTTTTTAGAGTTATTTTATTAAATTTTGTTTATTTATTTTAATTTGACCAGAAAGGGATAGAGTGAGAGAGAGAGAAAGAGAGAGGAAAAGTGAGAAAGCAAGTCGCTGGTTTCAGAACTCGAACTGCAGTCAGCCATGTGGGAGTCCAGCTCTCAACCACCATGCCATCTGCCGGCCCCAGACAGGTTCTTGATGTCAAGATCCTCCTGCCTCAACCTCCCAGCTGGGACTCTGGGCCCACACAACCACGCTCAGCTCTTTTTTTCAGACGGGGTTTCCCTCTGTTGCCTAAGCCAGCCTTGATCTTTCTGCCTCCAGCTCCGTAGTCACTGGGATTACAGGTGCATGCCACAGCAGCTCTGTTAACCAGTATGCCTCCAAATCTGTGTAGCCCTGGCCTCTCTGGAGCTCCTGTGCCCATTTTCACTGCGTGCCAGTTCTATGTGGTCTTCCCTCCCTCGATTCAGTTCTGTGTGACTGAACCCACACTTCTCTCTCAATCTGGTTTCCATTCCCCTTGTGGCCCTGCTCTTCTACCCCAATTCCCACGGCTGCTGAGGAGAAGCCCGAGCCTTCTGCCCAATATGGTTCTGCATCCTCCTTTCTGTTCCCTTGGTTGCCCCAGAATTCACACCATCCTGTTGCATCTTCCCGTAAACCACCGCACTGGTCTACTGGCCAGCCTCCTGGCTCGGTGAAGATATTTCCAAGCAGAGGAGTATCAGCTGCCACTCAGGGGTACCCCCCGCCACCCAAGCCCACAGCCCTTCCCTGAGGACTCCTGGACCTGGACCAAGCATCTAGGAGGCCAGTGCCTGGTGCAGCCGAGGGCTCTGGGAGTCTGCTACTCGGCTCACAGTCGGTGGCAGTCCCCCTGCCTGTGCCACCAGTGGTTTAATAACATCACTCCTGTTGTGTTCAGACCCCCTGGCCTGGCCTGCAGGGCGCACCCGGGTCTTTACCAGCCAGCTAGTTTCCACATTGTACCCACCTCACCTTGCAATTTCCTAACTCCTTGCTTTGGTTTCTTGTGTTCCTATCACCATCAACAGCACCCCACATTCTTCCCACAATCAAACAAAAACAAAACACCCTAAACACCCGTTCTCCCCTCTCCAGAAAGCTTTCTCGTCTTTCGCTGGCCTGCGCTGTCTGCCCTCTCTGAGCGCACTGCCTTGTCCTATACACAGGTCGCTTTGAGTTCTTGGATCCTACCTGCCCAATTTGACTCTAAACCCCTCAAGGGCAACATATGGATTTCCCATGACTGCTGTTACAAAGTACTCCAAATAACAGAAATTTACTCTTGGCACCGGAAGATGGTACAGTGGTTATGTTGCTGGGCTCCCACGTAGTCCGTTGCAGTTTGAGTGCCAGACCGGCCACTTATAAACTCACACCGCACACGAATCGGTGTGTCCAAAATCTTGAGAGGAGAATGGAGGAGGAGTGATCACAACGTGGCCATCCCCCTTGGGGGGTGATTTCTTGCTTTCTGTCTCTCCAGCAAGTGCACATGCCCTGTAGCAAAAATCTCTTAAAAAAAAAAAAAAAACGGGGGGTGGGGAGGGGCAGCAGGTGGCGTGGTAGTTAAAGGCACTGAATTCTCACATGATCGACCATGATTCAAGTCCCGGACTTACTTCCTCACTTTTTCTTTCTTTCCTTTTTCTTTCTTCCTTTCTTTTCTTTCTTTCCTTTTTTTTTTGAGATGTTTTTGCTATAAGGCATGCACACTCGCCAGAAAGACAGAGCCAGAGAGACAGAAAGCAAGGAATCGTCTCCCAGGGGGGATGGCCACACCACAATCCCTTCTCCCTTCTCCTCAGTTCTCCTCTCGGGATCTTGGGCACACCCGCACATGCGCCTGGCATGAGTTTAAACCACCAGGTCCGGGACTCGAACCACAGTCGACTACATGGGAGTCTAGTGGCAGCCATCACACCAACTGCTGGTCCCTCTCACTTTCCCTTTCTCTCTCTCTCACTGTCTTCTGTCTGGTCAAATTAAATAACAATAACAACAACAAATGGAATTAAATAAATAATTCTTTTTAAAAAAGAAAGAAGGAAGGAAAGAAAGAAGTCGATTTATTCTCTTCTAATTCTGGAGGTCAGAAGTCCCAAATCAGAGTTTCAACAGGGACATGCTCCCTCCAAAGGCTCCAGGGAAGGTCCTTTCTTGCCTCTTGAACTTCTGGTGGCTCCAGACTTGTGGCTGCATTATTCCAATCTCTGCCTCTATCTTCACATGTTTTTCTCTTTAACTCTTTTTTTTTTTTTGGAGAGGTTTTCACTATAGGGTGCATGCGCTCGCCAGACAGACAGAGAGAGACATAGAGACAGAAAGCGAGAAATCACCCCCCAGAGGGGATGGTCACGCTGCAATCCCTTCTCCTCCATTCTCCTCTCGGGATCTTGGGCACGCATGTACACGCGCCCGGCGTGAGTTTTAAGCCACCGGGTCCGGGACGCGAACCGCGGTCAACTACGTGGGTGTCCAGTGACATAGCCATTATGCTAACTGCTGGTTCCCCTCTTTCACTCTTAAGTTCTGTATTTGTTTTTATTTATTTCCTTTTTCTTTTTTTGTTTATTTACTTTCTTAAAGAGAAAGACACCCCCAACAGGGTCCTCCCATTGATCCCCGTGTACCTCAGCCAGCCTGGATCATAGGCACACCAGCATGTGCCTGCTTTAGGCAAGGAGGTCTGGGATGAGAACCTGGGACCTTCGTGGGTCCAGCATGGCAACATACAGCATTACTGCTGGACCACCATCTGACCCCTCTTCTGGTACTAAGGACACTTGTCATTGGCTTTCAGGCCTAACCAGCTAATCCAGAATGAGCTCATCTGGAGGTCCTTTATTTAATTCCTTCTGCAGAGACCCTCGTTCCTAAAAAGCCACATTCATGGGTTCTGGGGTTGATGGACATATCCTTGGGGGACACGGCACCATTCAGCCGTTCAGTCTGCTATAGGCAGGAATTCTGCCCTGTGCCCATCTCCTTCCTCCAGCCCCAACCCCAGCCCTCAGATACTGTCAGGTCAGGGGCAGTGGCTCCCTCAGGACCCCAGATCCCTGGAGGCAGAGTCATTCCAAGGTGGAGGAGCGCCCTTTTGCCAAGGCTGCTCACCCAATGGCTTTAAGGCCCACTACTGTGTCTCTTCTGGGGACTCTGTGCTTAAGGCCAGATGGGCTTTCTGAGCAGCAATCTGGACTGGCAGCGTGATGGGGCAGGGTGAGGGTTTTAGTCACACATTTCCTTATTTGACTTTTTCTTTAACTTTTTTCTTTTCTTTTTTTCTTTTTTTTTTTTTTGAGAGAGAAAAGTTTTTGTTATAAGGCACTTGCGGTCGCCTGAGAGAGTCAGAAAGCGAGAAATCACCCCCCAGGAGGGATGGCCACGCCGCAGTTCCTTCTCTTCCATTCTCCTCTCAGGATCTTGGGCACACACACATACATGCCTAGCGTGAGTTTTAAATCACCCGGTCCAGGACTCGAACCATAGTCAACTACATGGGAATTCAGTGATGTAATCATTATGCCATCTGCTGGTCCTTACTTTAACTTGTTAAAGCAATTAGCACAAGTACCTGCCTATTGTAGAAAATAGAAGTTTTCCCACCCCCTCGTGTGTGTGTGTGTGTGTGTGTGTGTGTGTGTGTGTGTTTCCAAAATTAGATCAGATAGCACATGTGATTCAGTAATTTGCTTCAGGAAGTGGGTTTATAGCATAAAATGTCCTCAATATATACAGAGACAGAATGCCTCTGAGTAGAGAGCAGGAAGCTGACTTTGTCGTGAGCTTCTGCCTGTGGCCCATGCAGGCTGCTGAGCCCCAGGCTGGTCTCGGTGTGGCCCGTGCTGCTGCCACCCCACCATGCCCAAGGAGAGGGGTCTGTCAGTGAGAGTCCACATTACCTCACGTTCTCCCAGGGTTCCGGATCCCCAGGATCTGGGCGGTCCAGCCCCAGGAACCCGTGGTGCTGAAGGGTATGAACTACACAAACTGGCACCTGCTGAAGGGCGACACAGATGTCAGGATAGAGGTGAGACAGCGGGCTGGCCCCCAACCCCCATCTCAGCCTCTCAGGGGCCCCTTCCCGGGACTATAGGCCGAGGAGTGGCTGGTGGAGTGGGGCGGAGGGAAGCTGAGGATGTCTTTAATATCAAGCCCCTTGGTCCCCCAGGGATGTGTATGTGGCTGGGAGGGCCTGGGACAGCCCAAGGGCATAAGGGATGCCCAAGCCTGATGGCCACTCCTGTGTACAGAGGAATGATCCAGACCAGGTGGAGCTGTGGGGACTCAAGGAAGGCACCTACCTGTTCGAACTGACCCTGCTGGACTCAGACCAGCCCGAGAACACGGCCAATGTCACGGTCATCGTGCTGTCCGCCAGGCAGACAGAAGGTGTGGAGTGCGGGGAGGCGTGCCTGGAGCCAGCCCTCCACTGGTAACTCACAGGCCCCTCACAAGCTCTCCTCCTTAGACTACTGCCTCGCCACCAGCAAGGTGGGCCGCTGCCGGGGTGCCTTCCCCCGCTGGTACTATGACCCCAGAGAACAGATCTGCAAGCGTTTCATCTATGGAGGTTGCTTGGGCAACAAGAACAACTACTTTTGGGAAGAAGAGTGCATGCTAGCCTGCCGGGATGTGCAAGGTAGGCCTTGGAAGGCAGCTCTGGGCTCAGGGGACTTTGCCCCGGGGTAGTGGTCTTTCCCTGGTCAGGGCTGGGGGCAGGGCTGGGGCAGCCTGCGCCCCCCCCACCCCCCGCACCATCACCATCTCATCACTGCTGGAGCCTGGCCCACCTCTCACCGCTCTGCTCTCTCCTAGGGCCCTTGGTGGAGAGGCACAAACCAGGTGGGCTTCTGCTCCTTTCCTGTCTCCCTCACCCCACCCACGTGAGGTCGGTACCCCTGGTCACCTGCCTTTGCCCAACCCATCCCTCACCTCAGAGTTCGTGGAAGGACCACAGACACCCCTCCCCACCCGTCACGGTGCCCCTGGCCCCTGCACCGTGCGGGTGGTAGCCACCCAGGCCTAAGGCTTCTTCAGTGACCCAGAACCCTGTCGGGATCCTCCCAGTTAGAGTTGGGGTTGACGGGACGTGCCATGATGCTGTGTTGGGGTAGAGGGCCGGGCAGACGGCAGGCCCCTGGTCCCTGCTCTGCTGGGGCCTGACTTCCCCACCCTGCCCTCCCCACACACGCAGTATGCTCTGGCACCTGTCACCCGAGCCAGTTCCGCTGTGGTGACGGCTGCTGCATCGATGGCTTCCTGGAGTGTGACGACACCCCCGACTGCTCTGACGCCTCTGATGAGGCCGCCTGTGAAAAATGTGAGGTTTGAGGGGCAGAGAGGGGTGGGCAGCAGGCAGGGAGGGCCTGACAGCTCTGCCCTACACCCCCGAGAAACCCTTGTTGTTCCCTCGCTCTGACCTTCCATCTCTGCAGACACCAGTGACGAGCTCCCGAGCATCCCTTTCTCCAGTGACAAAGGTGAGGTCCTCCGCAGGGCCTGGTCAGAGCACTGCTGCCCTCGCTCACCCCAGTCGCCGTGAGGTCCCAGGCTGTGTGCACAAAGAGCACGGTGGGCTCCCCTGCTCTCCCGATGAGGAGCCCCTTCCCAGGCAGTGTTCTCCGAGCAGCGCTCAGGCCCTCAACACCTTCTTCTCGTTAGCCAGGAATTACTGTGGTGTTATTTACTTAACCACTCCCTTAACCTAATGGGTTAGAGACGAAACTTCACATCAGTGCCATCAGCAGAAAGCTACTGTTAACTTGTCACAAATTGAAACTAATGATGAAGGGACCAGGAGGTTGTATAGTGGTTAAGGCACTGGACTCCTACATGGCCGACTGCAGTTTGAGTCCTGGACCCAGCAACATAAAACTCACACCAGGCACACATGTGTGTGCCCAGAATCCTGAGAGGAGAATGGAGGAGAAGGGACTGCGGCATGGCCATCCCTCCTGGGTGGTGTTTCTCACTTTCTGTCTCTGTCTCTCTCTGGTGAGTGTATGCACACTATAGCAAAAATCTCTCTTTAAAAAAGAAAAGAAAGGGATCAGCAGTTAGTGTAATGGCTATGTCACTGGACTCCCACGTAGTCGACCGCGGTTCGCGTCCCGGACCTGGTGGCTTAAACTCACGCTGGGCACGTGTGCGTGTGTGCCCAAGATCCCGAGAGGAGAGTGGAGGAAGAAGCGATTGTAGTGTGGCCATCCCCCCTGGGGGTGATTTCTCACTTTCTGTCTCACTGTCTCTCTCTGTCTGTCTGGCAAGTGCATGCGCCCTACAGCAAAAAAAAACCTCTCCAAAAAAAAAAAAGAAAAGAAAAGAAAAGCACTCTGGGCACAGCGTGCATGCAGGTATAAAATCCCCGAATCGAAGGAGGAGGGGGTGATCGAGGACAGACTGGGGCGTGAACGTCCCCTGTGGGGTGCTTTCTCTCTCTGCTGAGTGCATGTGCCCTCTGGCAAGTTGGAAAAGGAAGGAAGAACCAGATGGACTCTGAGTCAGTGTAATGTACTTCCCGCCTAAGGTTATTGCCCAGGGCTCCTCTTCCTTTTTTGTGGGAACAATGCAGATGGGCCAGATTTCTCTGGGGCCCCTCAGGCCCTTGCTGGGCCCAGCAGCCCTCACAGGAGGCAGGTGTGGAGGTGGTGGGAGGCGGCCAAGTGGAGCCTGCGGGATGTGGGCAGAGGTCCCAGCGCTCATGCGCCCCTCTGCCTGCCCCTTGCCCCCCAGGGCACTGCATGGAGCAGCCAGATACAGGACTCTGCCAGGAGAGCATCCCCCGCTGGTACTACAACCCCTTCATGGAGAGCTGCGCCCTCTTCACCTATGGCGGCTGTTACGGCAACAAGAACAACTTCGAGGAGGAGCAGCAGTGCCTGGAGTCCTGTCGCGGCATCTCCAGTGAGCGGGACGGTGGGGGTGGGAAGGGTGGCGTGGCCAGCCCGCCTGCTCTGTCCCACGGTCTGGGCAGGTCACACAGAGGGCCTGGGCTGGCGTGAATAAGGAGGCAGTGGGGGCCTGGGCACAGCTGAGTCTCCGAGCCCGTGCTGACTGGCCTCGCCTGTCATTTTGCAGAGAAGGATGTGTTCAGCCTGCGGCGAGAACCTGCTGTTCCCAACGCAGGTAAGTCCTGGTCCGCTCTGCTGCCAAGGCAGACTCTCAGGTATCAGCACGGGGAACCAGCTCCACAGGAGCACTCGTGGCCGACCAAACCTGCGTTGAGAAGGGTCCAGAAGTCGCCTCTAGGGACTGTTAGATAGCGGTGCCCGCCAGGGTCCAGGAGGGAAATAGAGTTACGCGCCCGCCAGCTGTCTGCCCAGAGAAGTCCAGGCCTTTCTCCACTCTGCCTGGGGGTGGAACAGCCCAGAGCCGGGACCGAGGTCCCCGCTGTCCCTCTGAGCTCCTAAAGGGGGTGGGAAGCTGCCTATCCACCGGAGGGGTGAGTGAGGTGTCCGTGTCCTTCCACACCTGACGGTCATTTGACTTGGTCCTTTCGAGCGAGTGGGGAAGGATGTCAGCACCAGGCAGGCCTGGAAGCCCCTCACGCGCCCCTTCTCCCCGCAGGCTCTGTGGAGGTTGCCATCGCAGTCCTCCTGGGCACCTGCATCGTGGTAGTGGTAGCCATTCTGGGATACTGCTTCTTCAAGAACCAGAAGAAGGGCTTCCGCAGACACCACCACCGCCACCACCCACCCTCCACCCCTGCCAGCTCCACCATCTCCACCACCGAGGACACGGAGCACCTGGTCTATAATCACACAACCCGACCCCTCTGAGCCTGGGGCTCTCGGAGGCTCTCGCTTCCAAGCCCTGCCTCCTGCTTGCCAAGACAGAGGCCTGGGCTGGGGAAAGCCTGGGGACCAGACTCCTGCCTGTTTCTCAGGCCCACGCTGCCTCTCAAGCCAGGCCAGGGAGGGTCTCAGCGAGGCCCAGGGCAGTTGTTCCTGATAGTTCAAGGGCCTGGGAGGAGCACAGAACCTTGGAGCCATACACAGATGGACCTACCTGCCTAGGAGTTTGGAGGAAACTGGCGTTTATTTCCTGTTCAGATGCCTATCCCCACCTCCTGGTGGTGTCAGAGCTGGAGGCCTCAACCCTGTCTTCCAGAGCTGCCCCTTCCCTCTCTCCACAGCCCAGGGCCGAGAGGAAGGGCTTCCCTGTATAGCACGTTCTGTAAAGAGTTGCTTTTTGTATATTTAATGCCTTAGGGGTAGGTGAAGAGGGTGGAAGGTGGCTCTCTGGCCTCTGCCTCCTCTCTGTTTCCCCAAGATTGAGCCTGCTGCCCTTGACCTGCCCCAAGCCAGCTGGACTCACAGAGTCAGAGTCAGAAGATGCCCAGCTGCAGCCCCCAGGGCTCTCCATCACCCCCCGCCCCTCAACTTCCCACCACTCCAGTCCACCCACAGTGTAATAAAACAGTTCATTTTGTGGGGTTTCGGCCTCTGTTCTGTGGACCGGAGAAGGCAAGGCTGCCTGGGGCAATGGGACCGCCTGTCCAACTGGTTCAGGCTCCAGCCACCCTGCTTAGCAGGTTTCCCCACATCTTTGAAAACTGCCCTGGCCCCTGGGGGTGGAGAGAAGTGTCACATTCGACCACCAGAGGGTGGGGAGGAGGAGGTGAGGGGGCACTTCCTGGTTCGAGCCTCTCAGTAGCTGGGGCAAGTCTTAACCTTGGAGGTGGAGATTGGGTGGCAGGGGTGCATGGGCTTGAGCCTTGGCTCTTTCCCCTGACCAGTCCCAGGGCACCAGCTGGCTCCCTTCTCCACCCTCAGAAGCCCTGGTTTCACAAGAACACAGCCCCTCCCTCAGATCTGCTTCCAAAAATCATACTTTTAATTCATTTATTCAGCGAATTGTATTGAGCTACTGTGTGTCAGAAGCGCCGTTTAAATTGCTGGCCCAGCACACAACCCCGTGACAAAGGCATTGTTATCCCCTGTCGCAGGCCAGGAAAGGTGAGGCTGGGTTCCCAAGGTCCTAGAGCTGGTCTAGGAGGCCTGGACCCAACCCCTAACAGGCCAGCTCCAGAGACTAGACTCAGAAAGAGAGAGACTTTTAGATGATGGTAAGTGCTATACAGAGAAAGAGGTAACCTGAAAGAGGCTGGGCTTTTCGTTAGCACTCGTACAACTGATGCGAAGGTTCGTCCATGAAGTCCTAGTGACCTGCCAACCGCACACACCTCCGCAGGCACCCTGGCCGAGGAGCAGGAGGGGGCTTCCTCTGGATGGCGTTGGCTAGCACCGCTGCGTTCAGACCGCTGTGCTCGCAGCCTGGACCACCTCCCCTCTTTCGGCTCTCAGCCCCCAGCCCTCACTGCTCACACTCGCGAGTCTGCCCTGCACACAGAGCGTCCCTTGTCTTGCTTACCTGTCTTCCTGGGGAGTCGTGAGCGCGCATCCTCGTCCTCTCCCGGCTGCAAGCACCCCGTGCCCCATAGCCTTAGTAGATGTGGTTCCGTAGTGAGTGGGTGGTAGGTCAGGGCTCATTTTCATGGTCATTTCCTCGGGCAGCGTATTGCCCCCTCTAACTTCCTACTTTGCCAGCCACTCATTCTGTCTGAGGTGAAAATGGACTCAGTCCCTTCTGGGTCTCGGTCTCCTAGCACTGGGAGCAACCCCATTCTCTGCAGGTTCTTCATGAGCACTTCCAGGACTGGGGTGATTTTAATGACTCAAAACCTCTATCCCAACGCCTAGAACAACGACCAGCGTGGAATAAGTACTTAATAACTGTTGGCCCAAAGTGAACATCCTCTCAGGAATGGGTAGGGATCAAGTGAGTTGTTGTCAGGCAAAGCGCCAACCCTAGTAACAGGTGCTGGGAGTGGAGAGGGCAGTCAGCCGAGTCAGCTCCCGCGGCGCGGAATGTGATCTCCTAGAGGACACTAGGGGGCAGTGTCGCCACTACAGGGGCTGTGTGCTCTCCCGCGGGGGTTTGAGAACAGTCTAAAGTGTGGAGCAAGGCAGGTGCCCTGACTGCTCAGATGCAGCGCAGCGCCTGCTCTCCTGGAGCTTACGCCCTGGGTGCAGGCAGCCGGGATCCAAATACTGTAAACAAACAACTTGGGGGCGAGGGGGTTAGGAAGTGGCGCGGTGGTTAAGGTACTGGGCTCCACATGGCCGATCCTGTTCAGGGCCCTGACCCTGAAGGGTCAGCTTGAAATACTGGGCAAGTGTGCGGTGCCCCAAATCCCAGGAGCAGGATGGAAGAGAAAAGCCTGGAGTATGGCCTCTACCCCCACCCCCGGGGCATGATTTCTCACTCACTCCCTCTCACTGTTACTGTCTCTTTCCTGGGAGTGTATGTACCCTGTGATAAAACCAGAAAAAAAAGCTGCTCATTATCTCCGTGACATCCGCAGCCATCCTCTGCCACCCCACCCCAGTGACTCAGTTCTCATGTTTGCCTCCACACTTTTTTTTTCTTTTTGGAGAGGTTTTTGCTATAGGGCACGTGCGCTTGCCAGAAAGAGAGAGAGAGAGACAGAGAGACAGAAAGCGAGAAATCACCCCCCAAGGGGGATGGCCACACCACCGTCCCTTTTTCATTATCCTTAGGATTTTGGGCACACACGCACAGGCACCTGGCTTGAGTTTAAGTTGCTGAGTCCAGGACTCAAACCACAGTCGAGTATGTGGGAGTCCAGCGACATAACCATCATGCATATGCTGGTCCCTCATTATTACTATTTTTTAATTTGCTACAGGGCATGTGCACTCATCAGAGAGAGAAGGAAAGTGAGAAAGCAAGCCTCCCCTGGGACCAGCAGATGGTGTAATGGCTACATCACTGGACTCCCATGTAGTCTACCATGGTTCAAGTCCCGGACCTGGTGGCTTAAACTCATGCTGGGCGTGTGTGCCTGTGTGCCCAAGATCCCGAGAGGAGAATGTGGGAGAAGGGATTGTGGTGGTGTGGCCATCCCCACTGGGGGTTATTTCTCACTTTCTGTCTCTCTGTCTCTCTCTGTCTTTCTGGCGAGCACACATGCCTTATAGCAAAAACCTCTCGAAAAAAAAAAAAAAAAAAAGCAAGCCTCCAGGTTCAGGACTTGAACCACAGTTAGCCATGTGGGAGGCCAGCATTTTTAGCAACTATGCCACCTACTGGCCTCAAGCCTCTACTTTAGCCCATGATTTAGCTCAGAAAGCTCTCCCTGGATCTCCAGCCAGTGTATTACTGTCCTCTGCCTCCTCTCACACTGCACCCACCCCTGCGTGTGGGTGAGTGTGTCTGTGCTCACCCAGAGTCTCCACAGGGCTACTGCTGGGTCTCAGTTGCCTCGGTTTCCCTGGTGTGGAACCCTGCTCATGGATACTAGGATCCACCAAACCCCTGCTGAGTAAAACAGGCTGGCTAAGCCATGGAGATTAAGATGGTTGAGTAATGGGGGCTGGCAGATGGTGTGGTGGTTAAGGCGACTGAGCGACTGAACTCCTACATGGCTGAAGGTAGTTCGAGTCCCGGACCTGGCAGCTTGCTTTCTCACTTTCCTTCTCTCTCTGTCTCTCTGATCAATCTCAACAAATTAAATTAAAATAATGACAATGAATTAAATTAAATAATTCTTTTTTTAAAAAAAAAAAAAAGGTTGAGAAATAGTGACATGAAGGGGTACAAATGAATGAGCTAGGGTCTCAAAGAAATATTTATGCACCCACATTCATAGCAGCATTATTCATAATACCTAAAATGTGGAAGCAACCCAGGTGTCAATTTATGAATAAATGGCTAAGCAAAGTAGCATACAAGTGATACGTACAACGGACTATATTATTCAGTCTTACAAAGAAAACTTTTTTTTTTTTTTTATGGAGAGGTTTTTGCTATAGGGCATGCGCTTGACAGAATGGCAGAGAGAGAGAAATAGAAAGCGAGAAATCACCCCCCAGGGGGATGGCCGCGCCGCAATCTCTTCATTTTCCCCTTGGGATCCTGGGCATGCACTCACATACACCTGGCGTGAGTTTAAACCACTGGGTCCGCCGGGACTTGAACTGCGGTCGACTACATGGGAGTCCAGTAACACAGCCATTACACCAAATGCTGGTCCCAAATAAAGTAATTCTTAAAAAAAAAAAAGAAAGAAAGAAAGAAAGAAAGAATTATTTTATTTAACTTCATTTATTTCAATGTGACCAGAGAAGGGCAGAGTGAGAGAGAGAGAGAGAAAGGGAAAGTGAGAAAGCAAGCCGCCAGGTCCAGGACTTGTTGGCTATGTGGGAGTCCAGAGCCCTTAACCACCATGCCACCTGCCGGCCCCGGAAGGAAACTCTTAAATATGCTACAACATCAATGAACCTTGGGGACATTGTGCTAAGACATATAAGCCAGTCACAAAAAGACAGATACTGTATGATCTCGCTCGCATGAAGTATTACAGTAGTCAAAATTGTAGAGACAGAAAGTAGAAAAATGGTTGCTGAGGAAGGGAAGACTAGGGAGGGTTTTTTTGTTGTTTTTTTTTTGTTTTGTTTGTTTGTTTTGCCTCGGAATGGGCGTGCTTGCTGGAAAGACAAAGAGACAGAAAAAAGAAATGAGAAATCACAGCTCAGAGGGCATGGCCATACTGCAATCCCTTCTCCATTCTCCTACTGAGATTTTGGGTACACACGCACATGCATACGTGCACACACACGTGCCTGGCATGTTTTTGAAGCTACTGGGTCCAAGACTCAGCCCGGTGGAGTCAGTCATGTGGGACCCAGCTGCCTTAACCACCACACCACCTGCTGGCCCCAGGAGCCTTTTTATAATGGATATAGAGTTTCAGTTTGCAAGATAAAGAGCATTCTGGGGTCAGATGGCAGTGATGGCTGCACAGCAGTATGGACATACTTCATGTGAACAAACTATATGCTTAAAAATAGTGGGTCCAGGGACTCGCAGGTGTTGTGGTGGCTAAGGCACTGGACTCCCACATGGCCAACTGCAGTTTGAGACCTGGTGGCTTGCTTTCTCACTTACTCTCGCCCGGTGTGTCTCCTCTGGTGAGCACAAGTGCCTTATAGCAAATTTTAAAAATATAATAATAGAAATAAATAAATAATTACTGGGGCTAGCAGATGGCATACTGGTTATGTCACTGGATTCCCACATGACTGACCACAGTTCAAGTTCTGGACCTAGTGACTTGAAAATCGTGCAACCAGCATGTGGCATGGTGGTTAAGGCACTGGACTCCCACATGGTCAGTTGTGGTTTGAATCCCAGAACTGGCAGCTTGCTTCCTCACTCTGTCTCTCTGTCTTTTTCTCTTTCTCTCTCTCTTTGGTAAGCTCATGTGCTATATTAATAATAAAATTAGATAAATATTTCTTTAAAAACAAAAAGAGGACTAGCAGATGACATAATGGCTATGTCACTAGACTCCCATGTAGTCGACCACAGTTCAAGTCCCAGACCCGGTGACTTAAACTCATGTTTGCCC